GGCTTTATGCTTCAGTCCACTCTCTCAGCTCCAGAAATCTTGGCCAGTTTTTCCACATGTTCCTCTCTCTGCCATACTGCCCTCCATTCCTGAACCAATGACACTTTTTCTCCACCAACCACCCACTGCCAGCCAGTGTGCATCCTGCCTTTCTCAGCCTGTATCACTTCAAGTCACTAGCTCAGCTCACAGCCTATCTGCCTCTTTCGTTTGATCGCCACCACATTCAAAGGTGGTACCTCTTGTTTTATGCAATGACCCTAAGTCACGTGTGCAAATTACCTTTTCAAAAAAGAAAATAAAGTATATTTAATGTATGTTAGAGCAGAGTGTCTCAGCCTTGGCACTCTTGACATTTGGGGGCTCTCCTGAGCCTTGTAGGATATCTACGCATCCCTGGCCTCGATGCACTAGATGCCAGTAGTCCACAATGAACAATGTCTCCAGATATTGCCAAATGTCCGTTGGAGTCAAAATCACGCCTGGTTGAGAACCACTACATTAAAAGAACTTAATATTTAGAGACCATCTACAGTAAAGGATCTTTTGAAATGTGAAAATCCCTCCTTTGATTTCATATTGAAAAGCTTAGATTTCTACAGATTGAGCTGTTTCTTAATGAAGTAGTACACTTGAACATACATAGACATACATACCTGCAACATGCTACTTACATATCTGTGTTATAGGTCATTTCCATAGCCTGAATTGGGGTTCTCTTTGTCATATATGTTTGGTTATGTCCACTCCATCTAGATCATTAGCACCATGAAGTCAGTGCCCTCCTTTTCTTCATTGTGTGATGTGCACACCCACCATGGCTGCAGGGCATACCTGAGGCAGACCAGTGCAGCTTAGAGTAGCAATGATTTTATCCTGATAACACTGTAACCACTCCTTCTCCTTCATGTCACATCAGGCTGAAGAGCTGACAGCCCACATTTTCAGAGCTATAACCTTGAATCTCGTTCTGAATGGATTTTCAGATAAAGAAAAGGCAAATGTTTTTCTCAAACATGCAGAACATGAAATACCTGTGGGTGTTCCGTGTGAGCCCAGTGCCATAAGTTCACTCTTAAAGCAAAATCAGAGTCAGCTGGTGCCCATTGCGGGTGACCCTTCCCACTCCCGTCCCTTTCCCACTCTTCTAATAAACCCCACCTCCCTGCTTTTCACCCATCCCCTCTCTTGAAACAGAAAATGATCGCATTGGCACCAGAGTTCTAAAACTCTAACGCCTGCAAGCACCAGAGAGCTGGTATTAGTGAGAGAGGCTCGGTTGTTTGATAAGGACTGCTTAATTTAAACTTTTCAACCCGCACACATATTGCTTATTTTATAAGAATATTTTTCACTTCCAGAAAGAAATATATTCTCTTTCATTTTTCTTGAATTACGTGTGTCTTCCCACTTTTGACAAGGATAAAAGTTCTGTGAAGTATTCTTTTACTTGTAAAAAAGACATAATGCAGGAATAAACGTAAGTGGCAACTGACATTTCGCCTCAGAGTTGGGGCACAATAGGGACTGGTGCTGACCGTGGGTAACTAGCAAGTATGCCTCTCTCTTAGGAGAGAGAGTTGTTGCTGCCCTATGAAAATGTGGGCTCAGGAGTGCCAGATCTACCCATTTTTCACAAGAAGCAGAAAGCTGGGTTTTATGTGAAAGCTCCTGGTTTTAAAAATTGGCTGAGATTTTTAGACACCCTGCAAGCTAAACACTGTAGACTGCCAGTGTGTGTACCCTTGTGATTAAGATTTTGACTAAAACTCATTATATCCATCTATTCCCTTTCCTGCTGGTTTGCATCAAGTGGTTTAGCTCTAATTATGGATTGAAAGGTTGTGTCAGCTGCTAAGAATTTGAGTCTACAGGGATAGGAAGAAGGAAGGTCCATGAAACTGTATTATGACCAACCCTCGCCCTAAAAGTTAATACATTTTCATTTCAGGAAGTCTTTTTCTTTTTCATCAATAAAGACTGATTTATTTATTCAACAAATATTTATTGGTCACAAAATGAGTACATGCTGGCTATACAGTGACAACAAAAACTAGACAGAACCCCTGCTCCTGTGGAGATCATGGTTGAGTGAGGAACAGCCTTTAATTAAGTTATCACACACTAACTGATAGCACAGAGAACTATCAAGTTATGTCTACAGTAAGTGCTGTGAAGATTACATGGGAGGCATAGTGGTTAAGAGCATGGACTCTGGAGCCTACTATCCAGGTTTGAATCCTAGCTCCACCACTTACTATGTTATCTCAGGCAAATCTCTTAATTTCTCTATGCTACAGTTTCTCATCTACTAAATGTGGCTAATAATAGAGCTACCTTATAAGGATGATGTGAGGATTAAATGAGGTCATATTTGTAAAGCATTTAGGACATATCTGGCACATGGTAAACACCAAGTAAGTGTTTGTGTAAAAATTATCTATGAGAGCTTAATGCTTTTTGTTCAGGAAAAAAATTGAGAACGTGACTGGCAGGGTGATCTAGGGGCCCCACTGGCACCCCCCTTGGCTGGCCTGGGGCCTACAGGCTGGAAGCAGCTCCTGCGATGAGCATCTGCCCCCTGGTGGTCAGTGTGCATCATAGCAACAAGTCATTCCGCCATTCAGTCGATTTGCATATTAGGCTTTTATTATATAGGATTTGTCACTTCCAGAAAGAAATATATTCTCTTTCATTTTTCTTGAATTATGTTTGTCTTCCCACTCTTGACAAAGATAAAAGTTCTGTGAAATATTTCTTTACTTGTAAAAAGACATAATGCAAGAATAAATGTAAATGTGTCTACTGTCCCCCAGCAGCAAGGACCCAGCCAGCCAGGAGGCAAGGTGTAAAGCAAAGCTGCTCAAAGATTCCACTAGGGCAGTACTGAGAACAGAAAGGCAGTGGCTGTTCTGAGGAAAGATTTTGTGAAGTGGGGGCCTCCGGGGCACCTCAGCTGGAATTTGTGGACACAAAGAAAGAATACCTTTTAAGTTAATGCTGTTTCAAGTTTGTACCCAGTGACTTACACAAGAGACCCATACATGTTTGTTAAATAAATGGACAGATGGATGGATGGATGGATGGATGGATAGATATATTGTTTACCAGCGGGTTAAAGGTTAACATGATGCAAAATTTGGTGTCTAATACTAAGAATCAAATGTAAAAGGAATCAGAATTAGTATGTTGGGAAAGACTAAAGAATGAACCATTCAAGATTTTTGAAATATATAAAGAAATGGCGTGGGAAAGAAAGTACCAGTGGGGAAAAGCTTAACTCAGAAGGATCTGTGCTGTGGATGAACTGAGGAGGTTCAATTTAAATTGGAAGAATAACTAAACATACTAATGACTTAGCTTCCTTAGGGGTGTCAAAGTATAGGCCGTGTGTCCAGAGAACTAGTTAGTTATCAAACTGTAGGATTGGGGCGGGGCGTGATGGTCAGAGATGTTCTGGACTTAACTAGCATTTTCCAATGGATTTTAGTGGTCAGTCTTTATGAATCAAAAACAATGGTTGTATTTGTGTATTAGTTCCTTACCAAGTCCAGGTTTTTTAAATAAAAACTACACAAATAAGACACTTTGTTTTAGAAAAATTGAAAAACATAAATTAGCAAAACATAAATTTACCTATCATTTCTTTGTATGGATGGATGCCCCAAAACTATGTTTGGAATGAATCAATGCCTAATGAGTTTTCCTGTTGATTTTGTTAGTATTTCTTACTAAATTTGAGTGACCATACCATCCATTACCTAAGAGATAGTGGTATACACCCTTGGGGTTGGGCGGGGGGGGGGGGGGGGGGGGGCGTTTACAGTTATGCAAAGGGGAATGATAACCAGCAAGGAAAGACTCTTTTGATTGGCATGAACAGTGGTCTCTATAGCCCAAAGTAGAAAGTTGAACAAGTTGTGTAAAATTCAAACTTCAAATTTTCACTTCTGGTGATGGTATCTTAATCAGATTGGCCTGGACATAGTGATTTTCATGTGGGGAAACAGTATTGCCCTTAAGCTCTCCTTAGTCATGTCTCACTGTATTAAACCTAGTGATCAGAGTCCAAAAAAAAAAGCATCAAATCTAGCTGATTCGTGAGCATGCATCTCCCCAGATCACTAGGTCTTGAGTGAGCTTGAATCTACTGTTAATTTCTAGGGTGACCCTAAGGCAGGGTTCTCAACCTTCCTAATGCCGCGACCCTTTAGTACAGTTCCTCATGTTGTGGTGACCCCCATTTTATTGCTACAAATTGAACATAGTTAAGCATAGTGATTAATCACAAAAACAATATGTAATTATATATGTGTTTTCCAATGGTCTTAGGCGACCCCTGTGAAAGGGTCATTCAACCCCCAAAGGGGTCGCAACCCACAGGTTGAGAACCGCTGCCCTAAGGAAACCCAAACTTCTGAAGGCCTGTTCACCTCAAAAGAACTTGAGGATCTCCCAGGACTTTCCAGCTATAAAGTGTTCTGAATTTATTTGCATGGTGCCTTGATTTCAAAGTGAATCAAGCCCTCTAAGACAAGATCTAAAATAAACAAAAAGAGTGTGTTGACCAGAATCCAGAGCACTCGGTGTCTCGGATCCTGGCTCCACAATCTTTGGGGCTGTTCCCACTTGCACAGCAAGTGTGAGCACACCTATTTCTAAGGCATTCTGAAACCCTGGGCCTCATAAGCTCTGTAAGTGTGAGATAAGATGCCAGATAAGGTTAAGGTTAAGATACTGGGGAAGTATATTGTCAGGGAAAGACTTGTAAATGTTTTCTCGTTAGACATTTTATTTACCTTTTATATTTATATCTCAATGATCAGGAGAAATAGATCCTAAAGCAAAAATTATATTAAAATGTATAAAATAAATTGTCTTGCCTCCTCTCTCATCCATGTTACCTCCTGTCTTCTCCTTATCCTCCTCCTGGCTGTAGTATGTCTTTGACTTTAACACAATATTATTTTCTCACATCCTTCTTTTTTCCTCCTTCACAGGGTACATCCCCAGTTACTTAGACAAGGACGAGCTATGTGTGGTGTGCGGGGACAAGGCCACGGGCTATCACTACCGCTGCATCACCTGTGAAGGCTGCAAGGTAATTGCCCGGGGTCCTCAGGAGTCCAGCCCAGCTCCAGGCCCCTCCCACCAGAATGCAACCTTAAGTTTCATTTCAAATTAGACCCAATTTCCAACATTCCTGGCCTGTGATCTTCAAGGTGTCTGGTAGTTCTCTATTTTTTTGGCATGTTCAAGAACTAATTTTTTTTTTTCCAAATCAAAAATAATTAAATGAATGTTTGGGAGAGTGTGATGTCTGTCTGGTTTTTTAGAAAGGGAGATAATGAAATAAAAAGAAATAAACGAAGTTCTCCCTTTGAGTTTTCAAATGCATAGCTACGACATGTTGTCATCCCAAGAAGTTATCATTTCTCCTCCTGTTTTATCACCAGTGTTTTAAGGAGACAGGATTCACTCTGCCACAGGCTGTTTGCTGCTGATTTGGAGTCTAATTCCTGGGTTCCAGGCCAAGATCCAGCATGTGGTTCCCATGTGACTTTGGACAAGTGCTTTAACCTGTCTGAGGCTTCATTTTCCAAACCCCACAATGGAGATACTGAGTCCCTACTTCATAAGTTGTAGAAGAGACAGAAGATATGTGTACAGCACTTTGCAATGAGCTGCTCACAATAAGTGCTCTCTGCCATTATCAATTCCTACAATACTTAAGTATATTTGCTAAGTATCATGTCCAGAAAGGTTCTGGTAGAACACACCCTTGAGAGTGTTACATAAGCCACCTAAGCCTGGAACTAAATGGCATCCTCAGAAAATTTCACAGTGGCATTCTCCCATGCCTTAAGAAAGGAAGAAACACATTGAACTTAGGGTGGATGTCTGCAGATACTAGAGAAAAAGAGTGTGGCTCAGTGGTTGAGCATCAAACTATGAACCAGGAGGTATCGGTTCAGTTCCTGGTTAGGGCACATACCCAGGTTGCGGGCTCAGTCCCCAGTAGGGGGCATGCAGGAGGCAGCTGATCAATGATTCTCTCTCATCATTGATGTTTCTATCTCTTTCTCTCCCTCTCTGAAATCAATTAGAAAAAAATATATTTTTTTAAAAAAAAGAAAAAGAGTATGATGAAAGGAAAGACCCTAATGCAATGAGCTGAGGGGAAAATGTGATAGAGAGCCTGAAATTTTCTACTCCCCACGTACTGTTGTTTCAAGGATGATCTGAACTGATCATGGCTATCTCAAGAATCAAAAACAAGAACTAAACTAAATCTCTAAAGGCAGTTATATTCGTTTAATTACTAAATGATTAAATTATGACACCAAAGTACTGCAAGTAAGTCTCCAGCTCTTTTATTCTCCATTAAAAAGTACAGCAAATCTCTTCATAGCTTAATTTAGCAGCATAATTATGGCTCTCTATGAAATGAAATAATATCATTTATTTATATTATTACTCAATGTTTAGAAAGATAAAAGCAAACACTAGACTTTCCCATTAGCCTCTTTTCCTTGAATAAATGCCAAAAAAAAAAAAAGATATTAACTCTATAGTCCTGTGACATCTTCTTCAGCTCAGATTTAGAATTCTTTACATTCACTTTGATCCAACTGTCTTATATTTGAATAAGTAGAGCTACAGGCCCAAAACAATCCATCACAGCTCTGTGGACATGAGATTCTGGAGTCATGTATTTCTAGAAAATATGAAACTGTTGTCTTGGGTCTTTCTTTTTCATGTAGGGTTTCTTTAGAAGAACCATTCAGAAAAATCTCCATCCATCCTATTCCTGTAAATATGAAGGAAAATGTGTCATAGACAAAGTTACACGAAACCAGTGCCAGGAATGTCGCTTTAAAAAATGCATCTATGTTGGCATGGCAACAGATTGTAAGTAATCTTCTTCCTTTGTTTTATATTCAAGGGGTGTTGATTGGGGAAAGGTTTGGTTCAAGGAGATCAGCCAGGTAGAAAAGCGAGCAGGAACTCATGTGGACAGAGGGGAGACACCTAGCATTTCCGCAGTCATTGCTGGGTGGTTTCCCGCTTCTAACTCTGCATGTCTACAGCTGATGGGTGAGGGAAAGCGATTAAATTATCCCTTTCATAGTTGCAAGACTGTTCGAAATACTCTGTCTGCAACGGAGATTATAAATGAGAGTCTTGTCCATTCACCTTGGGAAGGTCTAATTTTACACACAACATTCATGTGGGGAGAACCACATGGATGACTCCTACTCTTTTTCAAAAGCAGAGACAGGAATTTATTTTGTGGCCATTTTCGGAGACAGGGCACTGGCAGAAAACATCGTGATCAGAAATTTCTGAAGAATGCGAAGCTGCGTGCTATTGCAGGAGTAGCCCTGCTGTTGGTTGGTGGTTATATTTTTGGCCTTAAAAACATTCCGAGCTGAAGTCTTCCTACCCAGTTTTCAAAGTGCCACAGCATATGGTGGTGAGATTAGCCGCCGCCATTTGGGTCCCTTCTCCCCACACTGAGGAGGGGATTTACACCAGCAGCTTTAGTTAATCTAATAATAAAATAAGGACTGTGTCATTCTGAATGGGTGGCCTCTTTTGCCAGGCATCAGGGTTAATGACCTCTCCTGGCATAAACTTTTTGCACATCAATGAAGGATTCCAATCTTTAGTAAAAAAATAAAATAAAAAATAAAAGAAGAAGAAGAAGGAAGAAAAAAATAGGAAAGAAAGAAAAAAGGAATGCATCAAGGATTTTTTTTCCCCATGAAAGAGGAAATCATCATGGCTTATGTTTATGTGACTAACAGGGTTCTCTCAGTTAGAACAAAAATATCTGTGGAATGTTCTGGTTTGTCCATTAAAGAAGACAGAATGGGGAGCTTTTAAAAGGAGGAGGGTTGTGTTAGGGTGTTAGGCTGAAAATCCAGGGTTAATCCCACCTCCCAGCTGAGCATATTGTCTTTATCTTTTAAAGGCTTTTAGCCATTGCCAACAATATGGGTACCTGAAAATGACTGACCTAGAAAGAACCAAATACTTAGATGTGTCACTAAAATGAACTGTTATTATTAAGTATCCATTTCATTGTTCTATTGAGAACTTAAAGATACGAATGTTTATGAGGTTTAAGAAAACTCAGTGTTAACCTAGTCTGGGTGGGACTCCATTCTGAGTGCACCTTATTTGCTTGTGAAGTATTATTATTATTATAGGAGCTCAGGCTTTAGAATCAGAAAAACTCTTGGAGTCCCAGATCTGCTACTTACTAGCTGTGTGGCCATCAGACTTATCTCTGGTTTCCCTTCTGTGAAATGATCACCTACTTCGCAGGTTGTTTGCAGGATCAAATTAGATAATGCACGTCTGATGCAACCATCTCTGGCACAGTGTATGCATTTGGTAAATGGGGTTATGAGTAAAGCCCCCTCCCTCTTCTCCCTTTAATGAGTGAACTACAATAACTGAACAGGGCTCATTCATATTCCCCACACTTGTCAATCCTCACTTGACGTTGGTGATCTAATCAAATCCAGGTGATTATTCTGTTTGCAGACTCGCTGAGCACCTTTGGTTTTCTTCTTCCTGCTGTGTTTGCTTTTTTCTTTTCCTAGCAGGCCACACCTTCATCAGGAAATGGCCCGAGGACAATGATGTAGGACTGGAGTCATGTGTCCTGGGTCTTGTCTGGGCTCTGCCATGAACTTGCTGTGTGACTTTAGGCCAGTGGTGATCTCTCTGGATCAACTTCCTCCTCTGTGGAAGGAGAGAGTTGGACTAGATGATATCTAGGGTTCCTTCTAGTCCCAAAAGACCATGACTCTATAGTGGTAAGCCTCAGCCTTTCCATTCCACAGATAGTTACTAAGAGTCTGGCAAAATGGGTTTGTTTTGGAAATTAACCACAGAAGTACAGATTTTTTGTTTCCCTTCTGCATAAATGATAAAAATCATGGCTGCATTTACTGAGCACTTTTAATACATTATCACATTGACTACCCTGTGAAGTGGGTATTATTGATCCCATTTTATAGGAAGAAATGTAAGCTTAGTGAGCCTAATTTGCCAGAGGTCACACAGCTAGAATGTGGTTGTCTCAGGATTCAAACCCAGATCTTTCTAGATGGCAAAGCCTGGGCTCCTTTGCCACCAATAAGGGTTGACCAGGTAGAGAGTAATACAAAGTGAGTACCTGTGAAACCCAAGAACAGCCTGGCCACATTCTAATTATTCCTTACTAGAGGCCCGGTGCACGAAATTCATGTACAGGTAGGCTCCCTAGGCCTGGCCAGCGATCAGGGCTGATCAGGGCCTTCCAGCTGCCAGCCCAGGCCGTCCTTCATTCAGCAGACACCATAGCAAATGGTCAAACTCCTAAGGGGACAATTTGCATATTAGCTTTTTATTATATAGGAAGGGAGCTAATGAGGAGCTGAAGGAAGGGATCATCAGTGTCCCATTTATTGCTACAGAACTTTCTTTAACCTCCTAAATTCTCTTAGTAAGAGCCATTTGGAGGGAGGAAGGGAGTTATAGAAACTGAAAGAGCCGAAACCAGTTTGGCTCAGTGGATAGAGCGTCGGCCTGCGGACTGAGGGGTCCCAGGTTCGATTCCGGTCAAGGGCATGTACCTGGGCTGCGAGCACATCCCCAGTGGGAGATGTGCAGGAGGCGGCTGATCGATGTTTCTCTCCCATCGATGTTTCTAACTCTCTATCTCTCTCCCTTCCTCTCTGTAAAAAATCAATAAAATATATTTAAAAAAAAAAAAAAGAAACTGAAAGAATGAATTCAGATAATTGGCTAGACAGACTCATCTGGGAACCTGTGGGTAGGATAGGTTTGTCCTCTCCTTGCTTCTTTCTTATTTAGGGCCAGCTTCTGTGGGATTGGGATGCCCACTGTCCAACCAGCTTTGTTTGGAAAAGCTGGCTAGACACTGGTAGTTTGGCACCTGGGCTCATACTGGACAATGGCTAGTCAATGGCAGTATGCTGCCCAGGGAGAAAATGCCCCAGTGTGACCCACCCTGTGGGCCCCGCTGAGCGGTGCTGGGACGTGCAGTCTGCCACGTGTCTAGGAGTATCTGTGTTTGTCTCCCTCTCTCCTTCTCCCAGTGGTACTGGATGACAGCAAGCGGCTGGCAAAGCGGAAGCTGATTGAGGAGAACCGGGAGAAGAGACGGCGGGAGGAGCTGCAGAAATCCATCGGGCACAAGCCGGAGCCCACCGACGAGGAGTGGGAGCTCATCAAAACCGTCACCGAAGCCCACGTGGCCACCAATGCCCAAGGCAGCCACTGGAAGCAGAAGCGGAAATTCCTGGTGAGGCTCCTAGCACAGCTGAATAGCAGCTGCGAGTCAGCACTTTCTGCCTCATCTCACTTAGTCCTCACAGCCCTGGGGGCTGAGGTGACCAGCCCGTCTTACTGAGAAGGACTCTGCAGCACTGAGAAGTCAGGTGATTGCAGAGCCAGGAATGGAATCCAGGTCTCTCTGAGAGCAAGGGTCCCTCCTAGCGCTACTGTTTATGGGTCCCTAGATTCCAGAGCAGTTCCTACGGCCCCATTATCTGCTTGCTTTTGCTACTAGCTGTGGATTAATTAGTAAAATTCATTACTTGCCAGCTTTCCCTTTTAGGCTCATTTCTTCCCTCAGATGCCCATTTACATACATACTTAATCCACTAAGCTCACTCCAAAATATTCCCTTCAGAATAACCCCTAGAACAAAGTATTCCTTATCTCAAATGCATTTTTATGTCAATAGAAGTCAAAATGTTTAGCTTAAATTCTCTCAAGGCCAGGAAGACAAAGTCGGGATGGGGGCGAAGAGGGGGCATGTAGAGAAAACAGGACTTTCAAGACCCTTAGAGTATCGTTGTTTAATGTTTTTATAAAAGTAACCATTGTGAAAGTCCTTGCCACTCGTTTCTCCTTTGAACTTCGCAGTGCTTTGAGGCTGGAATTACTATCCCATTTTACAGATATGCAAACCAAGCCAAGGCCTTAAGTGGCTTACCCAATATCATGTTACTAGAAAGTGGCTGAGCCAGGCCCAAGGCCAACTCAGGTCTTCTGCTTCCAAGTCCAGGCCCTCCACCCACCTCACCAGATGGACTACCCATCCCACCACCAGCTGGTGTTTGACCATCACAGAGACTGACCCTGCTCTTGGTTTATGACACGAACCCTTCAGGAGTATCTCACTGAGCCCCGCATCAGACATTCTATGGCAGTGATGACGAACCTTTTGAGCTTGGCGTGTCAGCATTTTGAAAAACCCTAACTTAACTCTGGTGCCGTGTCACATATAGAAATCTTTTGATATTTGCAACCATAGTAAAACAAAGATTTATATTTTTGATATTTATTTTATATATTCAAATGCCATTTAACAAAGAAAAATCAACCAGAAAAATGAGTTCACGTGTCACCTCTGACACGCGTGTCATAGGTTCACCATCATTGTTCTATGGGTTTATTTTTAACTCAAGGGTACATGAGAGTACCTTTCCACTCGAACAAGAAGGTATAATGATATAACTGTCCTCCTACTTCAACATCACCATTATTATGTGATTGGTGTGTGTGTGTGTGTGTGTGTGTGTGTGTGTAGGAAATTTGGGGAGAGGGGACTCTTACCCATAATTCACTTTGTTGACGACTTTTACCAACAGTGTTAGCAAACATGATTCTAAGAGCTGACATGAAATGTATATTATTTGTAGCTGCTTGATCTGTTCAAGAATTGCCCCCTCTTGATCCAAATATAAATAACCACTTCTTCAGGCCATTTTTTTTCTTAGAGGGGTGCTGGAAAAGATCAGAATGCTTGCACTGTACCATCTATCTCTACAATGAACTTTATTTCTATCAGCCAATCCCCTTCTGTGCCTGGGATCACTCCTGCAACTCGGGGGAGCGACCATGTTCCATTCAGCATTGTACCCAGGGTCTGGCACATGTATTGTTGAAATTTGTGGTAGCTCTTCTCCAAGTTGGCTGCCATTAGATTCTTTCTTCCTTGTATACACAGCCCATTCTCCCATGGAGAGGTAGAGTCTATTTTTCTCTCCCCTTGAATCTGGTCTATGATTCCTTTAAACAGTGGATTTGGAAAGAGTAACCACTCAGGCTGAGTCATAAGAAGCCTTGTAGTTTCCATTTGATTATCTTGGAGGGGGAAGCTACCTTGTCTCTCTGGGAGAAGCTAAATGCCATGTAAATAAAAGCTCTCCTACCCTGAGAACTGCCATGCTGTGAGGAAACCCAAGCTAGCCATGTGAAGAGGTTCTCAAGCCAGGCACCAGAAATGTGAGTAAAGAAACCTTCAGATGACACCAGCTTCTGGTGCCATATGATGACAACTGTATGAGGGACCCCAAGTGAGAACCAACTACACAACTGAGACCATCAGCCCCCAGAACTCTGAGAGTAAAAATGTGTTGTTTTTAAGCCACTAAGTCTTGGGGTAGTTTGTTACACAGCGGTGGATAACCAGAACAGAACTCAATAAATATTTATTAAACAGAACATACAGTTCCACCAGCCCATCCTCAGAGACAGTACAGTTAAGCCGTGTCTCAGCCAGGTTACAAATAAATATTTATAAATATTCCTTGCAGAAGGATGACCTCAATTGAGTACTTATGCTCAGGATGATATTTTCACTCTTTTGGTTGGTGAATTACTCCTGCAAAGACATTAGGAATCCTTCATTAAAGTCAGCTTTGCTAAATGGCATTCAGATCCTGAATAGGCTTCTACACATTAGGATTTGTGTCTCCTATGTAGTGAGACCCCTTTTTTGCTTGCAACACTGCATATTATTTCATTTATTTTCATGTGATAATGGCTCATCTTGCTCTGAAATAGAATTTGAGGAGGCCTATTATGCTAATAATAGTAATGTATCAAAAGGGATTAAAAGATATTGTCGTCAAAGCTAGAAGTATTCATTTATCTGGAATGGGTAAGTAACTTACTCCCCGAAAAGAGTTTCTTCATCATTTTTTATCCTAAGACCAGGACTCAAGTCAGAAATAGAGAGACTGGTGGTTTCACCCAGGGTTCAAATCCACATTTGTGCTGAGAAATAAGAGTCATTGGCAAATAGACACTTTTGCAAAAGCCATGCAGATTTTCCTAATTCTAAAGCCACACTGTACAACTGTTTCCAAAAACACTTCCATCATATAATTTTCTAGTTTTCTCCATCCACTTAAATGCTCAATTTAATCACCAACAATTTGCAAGTGATGACAGTGATGGTGAAGAGTCCATGTGGGCTGGGACAGGAACAAGAAGTCTCTGGTGCCAGACAAGGGAAAGCAGTGTCTCCCAACCAAGGGTAACTCACTTTTACACCTCCCAGGGGCAGTTCGGTTTGGAGTGAACCATCCCCCCCCACACACACACATACCAACAACATTATTGTCTATTGGCATTGTGTTATTATTGTGTGTTGGCATGTGTTATTATTCTGATCCCTTAGTTCCCGTGCAAAGGGATGGCTTTGAATGGATTTTTTCACCCAAGTATAAAATGTGACCATCAGAACCAGGGCCAGCCTGCCTGCTTTCCCCCTGGCAGAGTTACTGTCTGATTTCTCACATTCTTAAATGGGGTAGCCTTGAAAAAGGAACATGAGCAAAAGGTTCAGACAGGATGAATGACTTGGCCATGTGTGGTCTGTGTGGGCAGATCATAAGACAAGTGCAATCAACTCAGGAAGGCTTCTATCACCCAAGCAGGAAGCACTGGTGACAACAGGGGATACATGGAGGCCACACCATGGCAGTCACCGAACGCTAGACTAGGGAGCTAGACAGCTCCCGAGGGCATCGGGAGCACAACCACCTGGGGGCTTGCTACAATGCTGATTCTGCACAATTGAGTCTGAGGAGAGAGCTAAGATTCTGTATTTCTAAGAAGTCCTCCAGTGACACCCACGCTGCTATACCACCCTTTGAGCAGCAAGACCATGGATTGTTCTTAGGCAAGTGAATAGCAGAGAAGTGCCCTTGGGACATTTAATACTAGTAAAATCCCCCCTCTGGCTGAGGCTGTGCCAAGTTTGCATGACTCAGTTCCTATAGGCAGCCTAGATAGTTCCTCTCACCCTGCTGTGACCTCCTCCAACTGGAGTCTGTAAGCAAACAGGATGCTGAACCCCAGCTGGGTGGAAAACAAGAGTGAATCCACAGGGTGCTGTCTACTGGGGCTACCGAATTCCCGCCTCCCCCCGCCCCGCTTCCTCACTGCCCACATTGAGCCCACCTCGCACACAGAGACACTCATCAGAATGTGCAGCACTCTGAAAATGCCCTATGTCACCTGGTGGGAATATATACCCTTTGTGCTTTCAGAAATAGAGCCCAAATTCCTCTTGTCTGTCTCTCTCTGTCTCTCTCTCTGTCTCTCTCTCTGTCTCTCTCTCTCTCTCTCTCTCTCTCTCTCTCTCTCTCTCTCTCTCTCTCTCTCTCTCTCACACACACACACACACACACACACACCCCAATCCTGTGAACAATATCACTGAGGCCTATTACAGCAATGGCCAAGACATATATCTTTGCTCAGAGATATACATGGACAACTCTATACTTAACAATAGACTGGGTGTACAGATTGGCTGTCCAGAAGACATTTTTCTTCCACATCAGAAGTAGGATAAAGGTCTTTCAACTTCATCATTTAACTCTTTCTTGTCTCTCCTCCTTAGCCAGAAGATATTGGACAAGCACCAATAGTAAATGCCCCAGAAGGTGGAAAGGTTGACTTGGAAGCCTTCAGCCATTTTACAAAAATCATCACACCAGCAATTACCAGAGTGGTGGATTTTGCCAAAAAGTTGCCTATGTTTTGTGAGGTGAGGAAATGATTGTTTTTCTTCTGCATTTTTTTCATTGTAGTTCCATCTATTTCCAGGAATACTGAGTATTATTTATAATTTAATATTAACTAGTAGGGATAGTCCTATGAAAGTAATGTCAGTCCAAAATGAAAGTGCACCCTTTCATTTATACTTTCCCACCCTCTCTACTCAGTCATCATTCATTAGCTTCTCCATGTGAGGTTGATGAAGATCCTATTCATCCACCCAACTCCAGGCATAGGAAAATATGATAGCAATACTTGCATTTATTCAGTACCTACAACGTCCTAGTTATCATGCTCAAGTTTGCCCACATTAAATACAATCCTTGTAACAGATCTGCAGGGTGGTTTTAATTAACCCCATTTCAAAGATGGGGAACTTTGAGGTCAAAGTGATTAACTTATCTATATGTGGGGGCCATAGTTTGAGTCTTAATCTATATTCTTTTAACTATGTATCCCAGCAACATGGCTGTGTGGTTGCCTTTTAATCCTCAAGAATAGAGGATGACCCTTACAGAGCAAAGATTTTAAGATCTCCTTAAGTCCTCCCTCTTTTCCTTATAAGCTCACCCTTTCGTGGCCCATCTTCAGGGCACCTTGAGGAGCTCACCTACCAGAGGTCGTAGACTTGCCCTGTGGGACACTCATCCCTAACGTGAGCAGTTCTGCTCTGTGGTAGCTGAGAGCATGGGATCTGCAGTCAACTGTATGGGCAAGAATTCTTGATGAGTTATTAAATGTCTTCAAACCTTGGTCATCTCATTTTTACATATATATATATATACATATATATATATATATTTTAATTGATTTCAGAGAGGAAGGGAGAGGGAGAGAGAGATGGTAACATCAATGATGAGAGAGAATCATTGATCGGCTGCCTCCTACTTGCCCCCTACTGGGGATCAAGCCCACAAACTCGGGCATGTGCCCTTTACCGGAATCGAACCTGAGACCCTTCAGTCCACAGGCCGACACTCTATCCACTGAGCCAAACCAGCTAGGGCTGGTCATCCCATCTTTAATGAGAATCATAATAGGATCTACCTCTTAGAGGTGTTGAGAGGTTGACATGGGATAGTTAGTGCTTGGATAGTGTCTGGTCATAAGTATTCCATAATTATAGCTGTTAATACTATTATTATTTTATTCATTACATTACCATCTTGCCTCTACCTTCTTTTTTGAATCAAGTGGGGTTATGTTTTCTGGAAAATTTTTCCTTTGAAAAACCCCATCAGGTGCCAATTTATTGATCTTCACATCTCCAAGGGGACCCAGAAAAATACCAGATAGAGAGAGCCACGTAGTGCTGTGAGTCTCTCACCCAAGCCACTGAGTGATACATGAATCTAGTTTCACCCAGCAAGAAGCTGAATTTCCTCACAGGGACTGACTCTGCCCCACCTTGGCTTCCAGCCCATTTGTGTTCTTGAGTTTGTAATAATGGGAGCCCAGACCTCAGACATGATGGAGACATTTCTCATTGCCTATTTCTGAGCCTCCCAGCTGAGAAGGATGCAGGTTTCTGACCCCTAGACCCAGCTGAGAGTGTGCCTCCCTCTTACCCCAGCTGCACTGAGGTGGGGGCCGGTGAGTCCTGGAGAAGGAATCTGACTTATACCCATATTTGGTGTGGAGCGTTCATGCCTCTGACCATCTTTTTTTTTTTTTAATTAACACTTATAAAGTTTTAGAGAATATTACAAAAATAATACATATTCATTGGAGATTTATACAGCATGATAAAGGTAAAGGTGCATGGTAATACCAATAAGAGATAAACTGCTGACATTTTGGAGCCTATTTTAGTCTATTTCAAATAAATGTGTGTGTACACACACACACTAAATATATATATATATATATATATATATACACACACACATATATACACACACATATATATAGTGTGTGTATAATATATATAATATTTTTATTATATATGTATATATATTTACACACACATAATATATATATATATACTTTCATTCTGCAGTAAAAGCTAAGCAATTTGAAATTATATGGTAAAGTAACTAGGTTGAGTTAGTAAAAAAAATATGAAATACCCAGTGTTTCAAATGTAAGTTAGTAGTATTACCTTTAGTTTTATATAATAAATTGAACTTTGGGTATTGCCAAGAGTATTTCCCAAAAAGAATTTGTACTTGCTTAATGAAGAGATAGAGATTATGTGTAATTTACATTTCCCTTGTTTATGGAAACCCAGTCCCATCCAGAGTACTTGAAAGAGTGTGTTCTCTTCTGTTGGCATTGGACTCCGACAGATAGAGCTTCAAATCGTGGCCTCGCTCACAAAACTTTCATGTGACCACCCCTTCCTCAACCTCTCAGTGCCTGGATTTCCACATCTATAGATAAAATTGGAAGCAAAATATATACCTCACTGCACTGCTGTGAAAATTCAATAAGGTGGTGCACATAAATCTTGGTATGCTGTCCAATTCATCAAAAACAAACAAAAATTCACAGTAATTAATAGTCTTTCAATCTATTTTGATAAGGGCATTTAATTAAACGTTCTCCCTATTCAAAAAATACAACTGATTTTTTTAATCATCTTTCTTAGCAAAATTCTTTTGTAAAGTTTGTTATTAATGTTATTACACTGTCACAAATCCTGATTCACTAAAGCAACCAAATTAGCTAAAAAAGAGATCGCCATATTGACAGAGAGATATAGCGTGTGGAGGAATTCTGGTGCCATAAGCACTGAGAATATAATCCTAGGAGCCAGAAGTCTGAATGCTGGCCTCACCTCACTCAATGGGTGACCTTGGGCCTTGTGGGTAATAGGCATCTGTAAGGGACTGTCTGATTCAGTGCTTTTGAAGAGACTCAAGGAACAAACTTGCTTCAGAAAACAAAGACAAGCACAGTTGCCAGCTAAGCATAGAGCAGCGGTTCTCAACCTGTGGGTCACGACCCCTTTCACAGGGGTCGCCTAAGACCATCGGAAAACACATTTGTAATTACATATTGTTTTTGTGATTAATCACTCTGCTTTAATTATGTTCAATTTGTAACAATGAAATTGGGGGTCACCACAACATGAGGAACTGTATTAAAGGATCGCGGCATTAGGAAGGTTGAGAACCACTGGCATAGAGTCATCTGTTGATTACTGGAGCTATAAGTCAAAAGTGTTGGCAAATTTAACATAAACACAGCTCTCAAGCAGTTAGTTGGGTTATAATACAAACTCCAGAGTAAGGAGATAGAAGCAGTTTCACTCAACTGCTTAATACCAGTTGGAGGTCTGTATCTTATGCCAAAGAAATGCAAACTCCTGAGATTAAAGGCAGTGAAGATAATGACCAACTTGGAGTACAAATATATGGTTGTGTTTGGAAAGTCTGGAGCCAAGTAGGAAGGGAAAAGCCACAAAGTCCACATGCTCAAAGAGTTTAGGACAAGTGTCTATCACAGGAAACCGTTATGATACCACATGTTGCTCTTGACTAACGTTTGTCCACTTGTTCTTTGCTGATGTGGGCTGGTTCTTTTCAGCTGCCATGTGAAGACCAGATAATCCTCCTCAAAGGCTGCTGCATGGAGATCATGTCCCTTCGCGCTGCTGTGCGCTATGACCCAGAAAGTGAGACTTTAACCCTGAACGGGGAGATGGCAGTGACACGGGGCCAGCTGAAAAATGGGGGTCTTGGGGTGGTGTCGGATGCCATCTTTGACCTGGGCATGTCGCTGTCTTCTTTCAACCTGGATGACACTGAAGTAGCTCTCCTTCAGGCGGTCCTGCTGATGTCTTCAGGTGAGTGTGCCCAGGCTCATTACTGGGTGTCAGGAGAGTTTGGGTGCTAATTCAAATCATCTGATGAGTTTTTAATTCCTCTTTAGCTTCAGAATTATAGCTCACTGGAGCCCTAGTCTTTCAGTAAAAATAAAACATAGCTTTTCTAAGAACTCCCTATGTGATCTTGAGGGAACCCCAGCTTCTCTGGGCTTCAGTATCCTTTAAAAATAAATTGAACTATATAAGTGGAATTATATTCCTGGAGAGGGGGGTCAGGGTAATCTTTTTACTGAGATTTCTGTGATACAAGGACAGTTTTGACTAATACGGAATCATAGTGAGGAAGTTATTTCTTTCTTATAGCTCCTAAATGTGGCAGAAAGAGAGATTCGGTTTGATGCTGGTCTGTCTTTAACACCTAATATTAGTTAACCTCCCTTTTAAAAAAAATCCTCACCTGAGGACATGCTAGAGAGAGGAAGGGGAGAAAGAGAAAAAGAAGGAAGACAGACAGACTGACTGGCATCAATGTGAGAGAGATTGACTAGTTGCCTTCTGTATGCTCCCTAACTGGGGATAGAACCCACAATTCAGGCATGTGCCCAGACAGGGAATCGAACCAGCAACCTTTCAGTACATAGGATGGTGCTCAACCAACTGAGCCACTCTGGCCAGGCTAACCTCCCTTTTTAAGAAAGAGAGAGCAGATCTCAGGAACAGTTTTGAGCAACAATCTTTAGCTAAAATGTAAGGTTTTTGCCATGCATTTATTTCTGTGGTTATCATCTATTGTGGCAAATGGATTTTTAATTATATTTATTAGGGTGACATCCTATATAATAAAACCCTAATATGCAAATCGACCAAAGAGCGGAACGAATGGCGGAATGGACAGTCGCTATAATGCGCACTGACCACCAGGGGGCAGATGCTCAACGCAGGAGCTGCTCCCTGGTGGTCAGTGCACTCCCACAGGGGGAGCGCTGCTTGACCAGACGCTGGGCTCACGTTGGCGAGTGCAACAGGGGTGGCCGGAGCCTCTCCCACCTTTGCCGCAGCGGTAAGGAGCTAGGGGTCCCAGACTGTGAGAGCCCCGGACTGAGAGAGGGTTGTCTGACTGCCAGCAAGGGGGCACAGGCAGGACTGAGGGACCCCTCCCCCCTGCCCCCCGCCCCAGTGAGTGCACTGGGCCTCTAATTGGTTAATAAAATTATATAGATTTTAGATGTGTATCATCTATATATTGTGTGTTCACCACCCCAAGTCAAGTCTCCATTAATCCCCCCTATACCCTCTTCTACCTCCAGCAAATGGATTTTTGTTTAATGAATAATATGAAGTTTCCTCTTTAGTGAGTCAATTTAACAGATTGAGTAAATAATCTAAGCAAGGTAGATAAAGGGAGTATGTGGAATGGCAAAAATTGTGAGTGTAATTCCAAACTCTATCAAACACCGAACTGAATGATTCTTCCCATTTCTGCCTGCCTGACAGCCATGTGACATAATGACTGTAAAGTCTTCCCCACCTGAATGGCCTGGGCATGTTTCATTAATGCTGCCAGGCCTAGGAAAATGTTACAAAACACTTTACCTTTGGCCATTGACAGCTACACATCAGTGCTCTGAAGCTCCAGTTCCTCCTCAGAGTTGTCTTCTAAGCCCCATTGCTTTGTTTGGCATTTCACTTACACAAAACCTTGGGCCTTTTCTTCAAAGACCTTTCTAAGAGCTACTACGAGCTACCAAGTTCCTTGGTCCTACACCACTAACCAGAGAGCTAAAACAGAGATGACCTGAAAGACATATCCTTGAGAAATTTTGTCTCAGATTGTTAAAAATAGTCCTTGACCTTTAAAAATGTTTCTCTTTTCATAAACAGGTTTAGTACAACTTGAGCATCATCCAAATGTCCTTTCATCTTTTTCTCCGTCATTTATAGGACCACCTTATCTTTACGTCTCATCAAGAGACAGAGTTTGATCCCACAAAACCCAGGTTATCCCTTTAAAGGAATACATCAGAGCAATATTGTGTTGAGTTTCTATTTGGATCAAAAATTAAAGGATCCGGTGGAGAATTCTTCTGGCACATTCAAAGGAAAAGAGAAGTCAGGGAACCAGGAGAGAGAGGGAGTGAGTAGATCTACAGAGTAGCAACATCAAATATGAAGGGGGGAAACAAAATAGGAATGCACAAATTGCAATTTGAGCTAAATAAGGGATTCCAAACGCCCATGTATTTTTAGACCCAGAAAGGTGAGTTGAGCCATTAGCCCTGTTCTTTCCTTTCGGATTAAGCAGAACTTTACATAGATTTTTACTAATACAGATTCTTCGATCACTGGACAATTGGAGTGTGAATTTTTATGATTGGAGCTACAAAAAGCAAGCTGAGGAGACCTGGGCAGTGGGGATAGGCTTTCTGGAGCTGTCTGAGGAATTCATCCAGGTTTATAAATTACTTTTGTAATTCAAGTATTTGCAGCCTGGACATTCCACAGTCACCCAGCCCCCTTGTGACAGCGCTTTATCATTCTCGGGAAACTGCCTTGAGTCCCCTCCCACAGCAGTGGGGAGAGTGCCCGGTCCTTACATGCTCTTGGTCTCCTCTCGTTCCAACTCTGGATAGCTCACATCCCTTTTCTTTTTGTTTTAACCCCCTACAGCACCCCCAACACAAGGCAGCTACAGGTGGAACTTTTACTAACGTATAAGGGAAGGGAAGGAGTGGTTCACCACAGCCTGACAAACAACTTAAATTGGATGTTGTGCTTCCTTGTCGTCATGGGATTTTCTCATTGTCCAACACTCCTCCTTTGGCATCCAGGCCCCCTGTTCCCAACTTCCTTCTGTTCTGTGCATGTCCATGCTCATCCCCCTCTTTCTCCCAGGGAGCCACTGGAAACTCAAAACTGTTCCGTTGGTATGCTTCATCTGTCAGCTCTCTAGGTGGGGTTCTCCTTCTAGACCCTGTGAGGAAGGTATTGCCCTTCACACCCATGGAGCGGACTGTCTAAACCAGAGGTAATTAGCAGAACAAAGCATTGGTCCCCTTCATGGCAATTATGCCACGTTCTGGTATTTCAGTGCCCATGCCCCAGAGTTCATGTGGCACCCGTGCTCACTTCTAGGAGTTGGAAGGTCCTCAGATCTGCCCACTTTCACATTAAAGGGCTTGAATCAGGCAAGGCAGTCCCTCTCCTTCCCACCCTCTGAATTAACATCCATCTTCTTGCGCCCCCTCAGATCGCCCAGGGCTCGCCTGCGTTGAGAGAATAGAAAAATACCAAGATAGTTTCCTGCTGGCCTTTGAACACTATATCAATTACCGAAAACACCACGTGACACACTTTTGGCCAAAACTCCTGATGAAGGTGACAGACCTGCGGATGATTGGAGCCTGCCATGCCAGCCGCTTCCTGCACATGAAGGTGGAATGCCCCACGGAACTCTTTCCCCCGTTGTTCTTGGAAGTGTTTGAGGATTAGACTGGCTGACTTCCTTCTCATAATTCCTACAGCACTACTGGGTGTCATTTCATTCCATTGCCTAGATCTTTTTTGTTTGTTCCTTTGTTTCTTTGTGTTGGGAGGGATTGTAAAGGGAGCTAGTCCTTGGCGTAGACATGGATGAAATTGCCCCTTGAATGCGGGTACTTGCAACTATTGCATTTTGTTCTCCAGTCCTTTGATGTGAATGCTTTGATGTTTTTACAGCTAGGGAGGTGGGGTGGGGACCATCATTAATTCACCAGCACCAAGCCACCACCAGCTCCCATCTGTCCCTGGTCAGAGACTCAAGCAAGCAAAATGGCACAGCAGAAGACTAAAGAAGCCTTAAAGCCAAGATCATGTGTTCGTCTTGATCCAATTCGGATTTTTACAGGACTCAAGTTAGCAGGACGCAGACCATCTTTGGTTAGATGTGGCTTCCAGCTTTCTAAGGAAAGGTCTGGACAAGTTTTGTTTATTCTAAAGCATGCTGGCTTCAGCACTCTTCATTCTCTCCTGGAAGCCTAACTTGGAATGTATAGAAATATTTGTTCCCCAAAATCAGCTGTTCTTTCACTGGAATTTTTATAATCTTATGATTTAATTCAAGTTATTCAAGGCATGACTCAAAGCCATGCAGGTACTTGACTGATTGAGACCAACATGGAAAATCATTTTCTTCAGCCAGCTCAAAGAAATCAGAAATGTTTGTCAGTGACTCAAGAGTTTCCAAAAATTCACATATTATTACCTCATAGTAGGAAGGCTTCTTTACAGTTAAGGCTCAGAGAACGTTTCCATAGAAATTAGGCCTCTTTACAGTTGTCATTTTTCAATGACATCTAATCCATTCTTTCTCAAACTCCTAAAGTTATTAATCCTGATTGCATCTTTGCTGTGCTGACAACAGATTTCCCTATGGATTACATATTCTAATCAAGGAGAGATAATGAGCTGAAAATGGAGTCTTGTGGAGGAATTTTGAGGAGAGACTAGTGCAGTTACATTCCAAGTTGAAGGAAGCACAGTGATCTGAGAGCACTCTTCATGGACTGATGATTTGAGGATGCTCCTTCTAGTCTTGAATCCTCAAGCTCTTTGCTCTACTCACAAAAATGTCTCCTAGCCTTTTCCCTCTGACTCTGTGGCTTGACTATCTCTAAACAAACACTGGTCTAGCCACTGACGCTCTCTGTCCCTGTTAAAGAATTGTCCTAAGGGATATTCAACAGAAAATGCCCACAGATCATGTACAGGAACCCTCACTCACCTTCCCCACCTATCTCACCTCCCTGATAACTAACATTGGAGTAGCTTGTACCCAGAAAACAAATGGTGACATTGCCTCATCACTTCAGCGTCAGAAGGTGGGCAAAGAATGTACCCATGCAATTGAATGTATCTCATTCTTCACTGGCATAGTAGACAAACACTATTTTTTAGCCTGCCTTGTACTGCCTTATCCTAGAAATCCTGGGGACAATAAGCCATATCAGTGAGATTTACCTAAAAACAAAGGAATGAAAGTCACTGTGAAAACCAAGTCAGATCTTTTTTTTTTTTTTTTTTTTTTAACTGGCCCAGAAGTCAGGGTGTCAGAGTTCTAATTTGTGCTCTGTCAACTGACAGATTTGTGACCTTGTTAGATTTGGGTCTTGGTTTTCTCACCTTGGGTCCTGATGAATAAGTCATAAACTCTAAATTCCTTCGAATCCTTAATACTCTACTAATTTCAGGGGAGAAAAATCTGGGTCTTTTGATAGTTTCCTTCATATTCAAATTTCTACCTTAATTAGACAAAAATTATGGCCCTCCTAACAGATACAGAAATATTTGGTCTTGATTCAAAATAAGAATTTGACACACTACTTGTCAACTATGTAGAGAAAGGCAGGACGGCCCTGGAAACACAAGAGGAACAGCATTGAATATCCCAAGAGTGACTGGAAATAATCTGAGAGGAAATGTGTATGTTTAATGCACTAGAGCAATTTCACTGGCTTCTAGAGGAAGGAAACCAGAACATCTGTGGAACTTGCTAACCATGTTTACACTTTCATTCTAGGTGAAGAGAATGAAAGTGTAAACGTGAAGGTCTTGGGCAGACTACCTACTTTGACTTTATCTACAGAAAGTAAGGTTTAGTTCTCTCTGGACAGCCTCTAGCCAGACTCCTTAAGTTTTTGCTTTATTAACATCTCAGCTCCCTCTGTTGACTCTGAAACATAACCCCTTAGTCACCTTCTAGCTCCAGGGTTAACTGAGCTTTGTGGCGTGGGGCAGATTTCCCTGAGAAGGCACTGAGAGGGAGGCAAGCAGGTGGGGTAGGGGAAGGTTCACAGACTCTGTGGGCATCAAGCCTTCCAGGGAAGTTCTCCTCAATCTGTTGGACAGAGATTCCCCCACATATTAGACACACCCAGATTCAAATATAAGTACAGAGCCTGATCTCAAGCGAAATTGGAATGCTTTGTGGATTAACCATGATTAGACATTGGCCAATGACACAGTATATCTACGGTAATCCAGACAGCCCCAAGTACATTTATGTTTGATCCTCAGCCTCTTAAATGATTGCCTTAAACAGGCAAACCACTGATCTAGTACTCTTGTTTATGCTAAGGGTGACAAGCCTTAAGGCACTTCAGGTAGAAAGGAAAGGCTATGAGAACTCCAAGGATCATGACCCTACTGGTCAAAGTAGCTCGTTTCTTCTGTAACTGATTGAGGAACTTCATGCATCTCAAGACTCCCATCTCATAAAACTCAATTAGGAGGGATTTGCTCTGGATTTTTTTTAAAACACTTTTTTATACAGTCCAGACTGTCGAATCAAGTGTGAACCTGATCAAAACCCCTCACAGTGGGGAGACAGCCCAGTAGGGGAGGCCACCGTACAACTGGGATTCTTATTTATAAATCACTTAACTTTGGGGGATGAGTGAGGTGTGTGGGTATGTGTGTGTGTATATGTATATGTGTGTGTGTGTATGTGTGTGTGTGTGTTACCTTCAAGTGTACTTTGCTCTTCAACTTAGCTGTGCAGTATTTCCAGAAATAGTGAGAAAAGTTAAGATCTTTTCCTCTTTATGATTCTGCTCAACACACCATGTGCCACCTCAGAGCTTTTTCTAGTCAGATGAGCCTCTGTCTTCAATGACGCGCTTTGCCGTGTTGATGCCTCAGCCCAGCGCCGTGTCCCTCACCTGGGACCCAGTGACACCTCTTCGGTCTGCAGCGCTGTCATCGGGGTGGACCACCAGGCTTGGCTCTGCTCCAGCAACGCCATTCTTGCGGCCCTTCCCTGAACAGGTGTGCAGGCCTTGGCCCCTCCTCAACACTAAACCCCCACCCCCACCCCAGACTCAGCCTCCACAGAACTGCTGAGCGCCCTCCTGGCATGTCATCTTCGTCGGTGATATATTCTTATTCTGTGGAACTCTAACCTGTCCGTGTCATATTGACCTTTTGCTGCATGAGTCATAAATTATGAAATCAGTCTGATGGTTTTTGAAATGTAGCCAGCATTTGTAAGGCTAAACCTTTTTCATCAACTGAATTTAAGTGAGTCACCAAGCCGCAGTTCCTCTTCAAAAGGAAGAGTGCTCATGGACATTTGAATCTCTGCCCTTTCCAAAGGCTATGGCATCAGGTTCTCAAATAAGCTCGTAATTTTTCCTGTTATTTTAATAATATGGAAATAGTAGCATAGTGTTTCTTTTGATAGTGATAGACTATAATCCATATTTAAATTTTATAGAGAAGAAATTTTATTGTACTGTGATGTAGATATTTATTATCCAGGTAAGGATTTGCCCGGTGTGTATTTTTTACAATTGAAACGTTTTACTTTAATCTTAAAAAAAAAAAAATACATTAAAAAGATGCGCAAAAAAAAAAAGGACTAGGGGGGAAAAAGGTTTGGCCTTATCACAGAATTTTTACTGTGCTGTATAAATGTTTGCAAATGCAAAAAGTGTGCATTTCCAGTGTGTGTCCACATTAATGAATGCCGCCTTCAAAAGCAATATCGTGCAGGTAAACGCTGTTTGTGGCTTTCTGTTGCACAGTTCAAACTGACCCACCTTATGCACAAGACAATCAAACAGAAATCTGTCCTCCTCAGGATTCAGATAATACTCAAGTAAATTACGGAGCACAATGTAAGACAAAGGAAGACTTTTTAATTACACATGTACCGTTGAGACAGAAGATATCAGGGCATGAATAAGCTGGCATTGCCCCATTTTTCTTTGGGTTTTCCCAATTAACACACATTTTCATTCAATTATAGAGCCAAATTGGATCTCTATGCTTTTTTCAGAGAAAACGCTTCTCCCCCCCACACACACACCCATCATGTTTTCATGCCCTGAGAATCAGAAAAATGCTACAGAATAGGAAGAGATTGACTGTCATCGGAAGATCTATGTGTTGCAAACAGTGTTAAGTGATATTGCTAGATTGGTAATATTTTTTTCAGCCTAAAACTCTGTTGAAATCTGTGATCAAAATGTTTTAAACTATCCAAAAAGAAAATTTGTATATTTGGGAAAAATGGATTTTTACATAGCTTTTGTATGCAGATATTAAATTGTAATTATGAATATAGTGGGCATAGATAAAGTCATAAGCTTCAATTCTAAAAAAGAAAAAAAAAAGCTTATAATGGATGTATTTTCCTGTCTCTTTCTTTAAATATTATGTTCTAACTAGGCCCAGTATTGCCTACTCTTCTCATCTCCACTGCTTCCAAAGGGAGGGAAACAGGGATGGAACAACATTTGTTTCATAAACATCTACTTGAATAAGCAAATTTCCTTGGGAGGAGGGTATTGGGGGTGGGGGAGGGAAGAGAGAAGTAGAAGTCTCATGGGGAAGGGCCACAGAGATGGAATGAGGAGGAGGGAAGACTTAACTTTTTGTAGCTCAAAGACTATATTCATATTATCTCAAAATGTCCAGAATATTATTAATGGAATTATATTAATATCACCTGTCAACATATATCTCAAACCCATTGCCCTGAACACATGTTAGGACTGTTTCTGTAATGACTAACAGAGAGGTAAGTCAAACTAGCTTAAGCCTAAAGGGAATTATTAACTGCAATATCTAGAGCAGTGGTCCTCCACTGTGGCTGCACATTAGAATCACCTGGGAATCTTTTTAAAATCCTGATTTCTGGGCCTCATCCTCCGGAAAGTCTGTTTCTTTGTTATGGGGTGGGGCCACAACATTAGTAACAAAGAAACAGACTTTCCAGAGGATGAGGCCCAGAAATCAGGATTTTAAAAAGATTCCCAGGTGATTCTAATGTGCAGCCAAGGTTGAGAACCACTGATCTAGAATGTGCAGCGGTAAGGTAGCTTCAGGCATGGCTGGATCTGGGTGCTCCCTCAGTATTGTCGGGAGGTGCCTCTTTTTATCTTTCTGTGCAGATTTTCCTCTGTAGAAATTCCTCTGTAAAAATCTTCATACAGATTTCATGCTCGCATAGCCTTTTACCTTAGGGTAGCCCCCCAGTAGCACTAAGATTAGCCTTAACAGCTTCAATCATGGGGAGTTTCTTTGCCCCACAGTTCCAGTAAAAATTGTGGGTCTAATGCTCATTGGCCCAAACTGGGTCATGTGCCCATTCTCGAGCCAATCCCTGTAAGGAGGACAGATTTACTAATTAGCTCTGAAATTGATCCTCTGAAATCCTGGAACTGGGTGGGGAAAAGAAGGATAATCAGCCCCATCTAAACTAAGGACTAAGAGATGGGGCAGGGATAATTCCTCAAAGAAAATTCTAAGTTTTGCTACTGTAAGAAGTATGGAGGAAGAACAAGTAAGCAAAAGCAACAAATGTCCACACCAAAAGTTAAGTCTGAAAGCACATCCGTTTTCAGTGCAGCAACAGAGTCTCCTTTACACAGAGGATGCTCAGCATGATTTGGCCAGGACTTGAACCAAATAAACACTGTCCAAAGAAAGTGTCTAATTACATCCTACCTGGCTCATGAAAGAGGCAAGTCCAGGTAAGATGGAGCAAGCATGTCTTATTTCCTTGGGCTAGATCAGTTCCAAGTACTCTTTCCTGAGTCCTCCCATTTTCTATTCAAAAGATTGTTAAAGCCCAGCCGGGTGTAGCTCAGCGGTTGAGCGTTGACCCAGGAACTGAGAGGTCACCGGTTCGATTCCCGGTCAGGGCATATGCCCAGGTTTCGGACTCGATCCCCAGTGGGGGACTTGCAGGAGGCAGCCAATCAGTGATTCTCTCTCATCATTGATGTTTCTATCTCTTTCTCCCTCTCCCTTCCTCTCTGAAATCAATAAAAATATATTTTAAAAAAAAAGATTGTGTAAAGCTTTTATATTTATCTCCTTTGTACATTATGTACATCTTAACCCTTATGAACACATTTCCTTCCCTAAGAAATCATTCATTTTCTATTGGAGAGTTTTATACATATATATTCCAGCCAGGTACAGTTCTGAACCCCTTTACACAACAAAGCCAACCCAAAATTAATGTGATATCTAATGGCTTTATTTGGGTCGTGGAGCTGGTATTATGTCACAAACCTGGACAATTCTAATCATCTAGAAGGAAGAGGAGCCAGAGGATAAATTCAATTGGCTTTCCCACCTCAAGATGGCAGCTCATCCTGGTTTCATATTTAGCTGCTCGAGGCACTTTAGCTTTGTAAATAAGTAGAGTTTTCATTAGGTTCATGTACACAAGTTCAGACACATTACATGTTGTTCAAACAAACAAACAAAAAAAAAACCTACTAGAACTACTGAAATGTAGAGTGTTATAGATACTCTTGGAGTGTATATCTCTAGGATCCATGGGCTACCTGACAAAAAATGGTCCATGTTATACTCTGAAAGCTAGAATCCATTTCTACCATATACTGATGGAATCGTAAATGAAGTCTGTGTCAGTAAAATGCTATTGCCTGCATCTTACACTAAAAGGAGAAGAGAGCCATCTTAGCCTGGGTTTCCCCAAAAAGCAGAGCTTATGTGCTACAGTTTTAGTAGGGATAGTAGCCCCCAAGGAAACAAGAATGGAGGAGAAAGAGAATGAGGCAGAGGAGGAGAGAGAGTGAACACAAGGGTGCATTGCTAAGCTGGCCACACTAAGCACGGCTGAGACCTCAATCATGCAAGACCATCTTCTACGGGGCCAGGTGAATACCGCATCTCAGGATAATTCATAAGAATTTATCTACTGGTTCTCATTTCCCATTATCAAAGCTGGGCTGACTTCCCTGTACTAAGTAGTGCATGCCTGGCCACAGAGGAGGCCCTGTGGAGTCTCACACTTCAGAAGGAAAAGCAAGCCCCCAAGTGGGGAAAGTGGGTCTCCAATCTCACAGCTGGGCAGAGCCCATCTAGACTCAGTGCACATCAGGGGGCAAATGGGGTGAGACAAGTGCCCCTGGGCCTTGGGAAATAAAGGTTAGAGGATCTGCCATGATCTGATGTAGGGGTTCCTCCAGCCGGCAAGTTCTTTCAGGGGTCTCATTTCAAGGGCAAATTTCTTTCTATACAAATGTCTAGCTGAGAATTGTGTAGAAGCCAACAGAAATTTGTTTTTCCGTACATAACTTCACTTTGGTGCAAACATTTTTTGGAACAATGCATTTGAAAACTGAAGTCAGATGAAGTTGTAATGAACACACATCTTTCAGGACAGAGTGATAACATCCTCTTTCTTTTGACTTTACTTTTCACATAACTCTAATTGCACTGTGGGAGGCAGATGCATATAGAATAAACCATCTTCAAGTGAGAAAATTTCAAAGTTCCTGTGCCCACAAATCCTAATGGATACAGAGGTCTGAAAAGCACTCTTCAGTTTTACCCTGATTCCTAAAAAGATGCTGCAGTCTTACTTGTTGCAGATATTTGGGTGTATTTGAAGTCTAATAATTTTGTGATTTTCCCTACAGGTATTTTTAGCCTTAAAGAGATTTTTAGCCTTAAAGAGAGAATTTAGAATTTTTTTCACTACCTAAAGTCAAAACCAAATAGAGTCTTTATAACAATAAATTAAAAGGTGAAGAACCCAAGACCATCAAAGATCATTGACTGGTAAGTAAGCTGCTTTGTGAGAATCCAGTTGAAAATTTCAGCAAATTCACTTTCATTTTCTCCAGCACTTTGACAGAAATACCCCTCATCAGTTACTTGCTACTCAAGAGTCCCAGCAGCCAACCCGCAAAGAAGTGCCAGGTGTGTGTGATGCCTTCCAGGGTTCTTCACTGTCATGCTGGAGTATATCATAATGGCGCACCATGTAATGAACAAGTATCTATGCCAGGAATCGTACCAGGCCCTCCATGTTACATCTAATCCTCCAAACAAACCCATAAAGTAGGTGATAGTATCCTCGTTTGGTAATGGAGAGGATGAGTGTGCATAAGCAACTTATCCAACATCACACAGGTGACAAGCATCCGAGCACATCAGGTTCAAATATCCATGTTCTTTTTACAACCTGTACTACTAAGACCAGCATAAGGCCTTAGCCCCTGAAGAAAGAGAAAAGGCAACTCGGCTCTGGAAATGTTTATCATTTCCCCTTCCAAAAAGGCTCACCTTCCCTAATGCAAAACAAATAAATAAATGTGCATCCTGAAAAATAGGCTACCTCACCTCTCACTAGGTTGTATCTATTGCAAAAGCACTCATTAGTGTTGCAGTATTAAAAAGTGATTTCTCTTTGTAGGACTCATTTCTAACCCAGCTGGCTTCGAGAGGTGTCAATCTAATAAGAGGAAATTTTATTTTGCTAAGCATTTGGAGGTCCTCAGTTTTGCTTAGCAAAACTTAACTACTCGTAGTTAAGTTTGGGGAAGGCTGAATTGCTCTGTTTAATGGAGGAAAAGAATTTACAGCAGTGAAAGTTGGGGAAGTGGGTAGAGGACAAGAAAACAAGGTGACAGAAGCACTGAAGTTTCAACTTTAGATATCAAGTTAAAATCGGCGAATGTATGGTACAAATTAATCTCTTATAGAAACAAATGAAAGGGGGCATTCAGCTATCATGTTGATATGGAACAAAAGAGACCCAAAGCCAAGGAGATCTTGATAATAGAAGTATCCAAGAATTCATAGAATTCTGGGGGTTACTTTATCTGGTATCAGAAAATTGAGAGGTGGGTTTTTCAAAGCAATCTCACCTAGCTCTGAAGAGAAAGCTGTAGCTGACATCTGGTAGATACATTTACTTAAGACTGCACATAGACGAGGGTATAAATTAGTAGATTGAAGACCCTTAAACCAAATATTAGCAATCAAACCCAGACACATTAGAGAAAAAATGTTTACAATAGTTGCAATGTCTGAAATGTCACTGATTAATGTCAGAAATACATAGGTAGCTTTTCCAAGTCAATGAGAAAAAGACAAAGTGTAATAGAAAAATGGGATATTCACAAAGGAGAAGCCCAAATGGCTAACAAGTCTATAAAGAGATCCCCAACCTCACTAACTTTCAGGAAACAGGGACACTGACAACCCTTTACATGCACAAATTAGACAGACAGAAAATACCAAGTGGTAGCAAGATCGTTAGGAGATGAGGACTTCATCTCCTGATAATGAGAGTGTAAACTGGCCCTGGTTGGTTTGGCTCAGTAGTTAGAGCTTCGGCCTGTTGACTAAAGGGTCT